GAAACTAGCAAAGAGCAGGAAACATTCTCTCTAAGAGCCTCCAGAAGGAATGCAGAGCTGCCCAACACCTTAATTCTAGCCCACTGAGACCCTTTCACCTATAGGCCACTGTTATTTCTGGAGCCCTGTGGTGTGGTGTGAGGTCTGGGGAAAGGAATGTGTTCTGGCATCTTTCCATTCAATCTAAGTATCTTAAAGTGCCTGTGTCTCGGGGCTGAGGTCTTCCCAAGTGTTTCTTCTGGTGTAACTGTAGGTGACACAAGAAGACGGCAGAGGCTGGAGGAACACCTTTCTCCCTTGATCCCCTTGAAAGACTCTGGTAAAGTCTTCCCCTCGGGGAGCAGGTGTTTGTTTCTAAACATGTTTTACAGGATGACTCTTCTCCCCCTGCCAGAGCTGTGGGAAATGTCTCAGATCTGAACCATGGGAATCTGTCAGGAGTCTTATAGTAAAGTTCATGAAATGCTGGGGAGGAGGGACCCTAAACTTTAACCCCAGTGATTTCTCATTCCCATGCTAGTACACACTAAGCTACCAACAATTCATCAAATTAACATTTGAGAGTTCTTGCCAGTCAACAATTCCAGCAATCTCTGGTACAAGTAAGCAGAACTTGACTTCAAACTCGGCTCTTTGATGGAATCTAGAATCAGCACTGATTTTCAATTTGTCTAGTTTTTGTCTTCTTTTAAGGAATGGAGTAAAAATTCCCATGGTTTGTATACATCAGAGCTGAAATTGGAAGTCTGCCATGATTTTCTTCTAATCCCAAGCAGCTTGGTATCTGAGGCTACAGCTGGGAATTCAAAAGCTTGGAGCTAGGATCATCATAATGTGTGTTCATGCACACGTCCAGTGATTGATGCAGGTGTTGGCTAGAGGCATCACTGGACTTGTTGACCAACGTATCCACATGTGGCTTCCCTATACAGCCCGAAAGTCTTAATAGGATTGCAGGTTATAAGGGCAAATGTGAAGAAAAAGAAAGTCAGGAAGAAGCTGGCCCTAGACTTGGAAGTCACATAGCTTTACTTTCATTGTACTCCACTGGTGAGGAAATTCATGAGCCACTTCCTGGTGTTAAGAGGAAGAACATAGCCATCCCCTCTCACCCTCCCTCTCTTCAGTCACATTGTAAGAAGAGCATGGAATAGAACTGGTGCATAAGTGTGATCATCTTTGTAAAACTCAACCTGCTTTTTCTAAAAACAAATGATTTATTCATTCATTCTTGTCTTTATTTGAAAGTCAGAGCATCAGAGAGAGATAGGGAAAGTCAGAGAAAGAATTCTTCCATCTGCTGCTTCTCTCCCCAAATGGCCACAACAGCCAGGGCTTAGCCAAACCCAAGCCAGGAGCCAGGAACTCCAGCCAGATCTTCTACATGGGTGGCAGGGGCAAGCACTTGAGCCATCTTCCAGTGCCTTCCCAAGTGCACTAACAGGAAGCTAGATGGAGAGCAGAGCAGCTGGAATTGGAACTAGCACTCAGATATGGGATGCCAACATCACAGGTGATAGCTTAACCTGCTTTGTCACAACACCAGCCTTCAATATGCTTTTTTTAAATTTACTTTATTTATTTGAAAGACAGAGTTACAGAGAGAGGTAGAGACAGAGAGAGAGGTCTTCCATCCGCTGATTCACTTCCCACATGGCCGCAACGGCTGGAGCTGCACCGATCTGAAGCCAGGAGCCAGGAGCTTCCTCCGGGTCTCCCATGTGGGTGCAGGGGCCCAAGGAGTTGGGCCATCTTCTCCTGCTTTCCCAGGCCATAGCAGAGAGCTGGATCGAAAGAAGGGCAGCTGGGACTAGAACAGGAGCCCATATGGGATGTCAGCACCTCAGGCCAGGGCTTTAACCCACTGTGCCACAGCGCCGGCTCCTCAATATGCTTTGAATGTAGAGAATTCTGTTATCTGTTATGATTAGAATGAAGTACCCTCCCCAAAATGTAGACCTCACTTCTTGTTACTCTGAACTAATTTCACAGTGACTTCTTCATATTTTTACCTTGAAATAATCACAAACTCACAGAAGAGTTGGAAAAGCTTTACAGGCCCTAAATCATCTCAGACCAAATCACTGACATGATGACTGATTTCCTCTGAATTTCTAACCACGAAGATATCTCCTACATAGCCATAATACTACCTTCAAAATCAGGAAGATTACATTGATGTATCACTTCTATCTTGTCTTCAGACCTTCTTCAAGTTTCACTAATTATTCTAGAAATGCCCTCTACTGCAAAAGGGTCTATTCATTACATTTAGCTGTCATGTCTAAGCTGATTTCAGTTACGAGGGGTTCCTCAAGCCTCAGTCCCTCCTTAACTTACATGACGTTGACAAGCTGAAGACTACAGACCAGGTATTGTGTAGAATGTTCATTGTGTAGAGTGTGATGTTCATTGTGTAGTATGATGTTTTCTCACCATTGGAATAGGTTCTGCATCTTCCATGGGGATAACATGGAAGTTAGCAAACCACCTACGTTGATCCCATTACCAAAGGTGAATTTTTGAGGACTCTTGGAGGACTAATGATGCTTTGTTATTAATTTGGATATTGATTATGATTGTGATCAGATGACCAAAAAACTCATTTTTATGAACACTTAAGTACATTTCCTGGTATGTATGCTGTATTTCAATTAATTTTTTTTAAAAAGATGTTCACTTTTATTGCTTGATAAAGACAATTTCTGTTAGGCTTCTCTACTGTACAATCTCTTGTAGAGAGATAGGTTACAGCTATGTAAACACCTCACTCCACATCAAACTTTCAGTTTATTCAGTTACAGCTGGATGTATTTATGGTTTCCTATTGTACTCAACAAGTTAAAATACATTACTAATTCTATTGATTTTGATACTCCAATTTTCCCATATTTGGCCAGTGAGAATTCCTTCAGACTAGTTTTTTGTGCCTTTTAATGTGTATCCATCATTGTCTCAATATTCCTTGCTTCCTAGGAGAGTAAAGCACATCTTGAACTCTCCCTACACAAGCCCTGGAATTAGACAATTTTTCAAGGACTCCTGATTCCCTTCAGGAGACTGTAGTATTTAGAAATCAAACTCTGGGAACCAGGCGTCCTCATTGTTAATGGGATATCGCTGCTCCTGGGTCCTCTCAGTGAACAATTATAAGCATGCAAACTTGTACTTAAACTTTATTTCTTTCTAAAATTCTTATATTGAAAACCATAGCTTCATATTGATAAATCCAATTATATGTCAATGTCATAGAATTTATTCTAATTTTCTCCATTTCTATTCTGTCACCTTTTTCTTCAGCAATGAAAAGCCAGGCTAACTTTACTGTTGATATATTTTCCTTAATTAGTACCTATGTGAGTAACCAATCTTCCATTCATACTAACACCTTCTCTTGGTGGATCCATTCATACTCCTCTCTGACTCCCTTCACCAGAGTACCCCAACCAACGGATGTCTTCCTTATCCTGCTGGTCCCCTGACACCGGACTCCAGGCACTCTTTCACATGCATATCCCCCCTCTGCTGAAGTGCTGGCTACTCGCATCAAGTTGCTTCCCTCTTCTGGGCAGAATGACACCTCTCCAAAAACGCACAAATCCGAACTCCCAAAGTCTGGGAATGTTCCTTTATATGGTAAAAGGGACGTTCCAGGTGGAATTGTTTAAAATCTTGGGATGAGAGGCAGATATTAGCCTAGTAGTTAAGTCACAAGTTAAGATGTCTGCATTCCATATTGGAGTGCCTGAGTTCAAGTTCCCACTCTACTGCTGATTTCGCCTCTTTGGTAAACCCTACAACACTTCTGAGATTCGACTACAGTACATTTCTATGTGCGCTTCCTTTTGATGACCTCGTCGCTTAGCCTAATTCACTGGGTCTTCTGGAATTTACACCCAGAACTAATCAAATATCTCACATCCTCACCTTCCTCCTACTTAAGAGATACCCTGGCTCTCTTCTAAGGAGCTCTGCTTCCCCTGCATACTCCTAGAATGGTGGCTGCTGTTCTCTCTCATCTTTTGAGATCACCAGGCTAGTCTGCTTGTCCTTCTACCACTCCAAGCCAATCCCCCACTTAGAGCCTTTGCAAGAATATTCCCTTTGCCTGGAATCCTAAACACAATCTTCCCTACAAATGCCTCCTCAAATGGCATCTCCTCAGTGCAGCCACTTTTAGCCACTCTCTGTAAACTTCTAGTCTGCTGCACCACAAGGCATATGTATCCTCAGTCCCCTTATCCTGCTCTACTACTTTTTTCCATGACACCAATAATTTTCTAAGATACCATGAAATTTACTTAATATTATGCATTTTGTTTATTGTCTATTTCCCCTTTGTACAATTTAAAATTCTCCAAGGGCAAAGATATTTGTCTGTTTCATTGATCTAAGCACATAGCAGTTGTCCAAATAAATGCTGTTGACTAAACAAATGAACTGTCACCACAATAGTATCAAGAAAACCCAATTACTCCTATTTTTCAGAAAAAGATTGAAGTTTAGAAGCTTAGGTAATATAAAAATTCATTAAAAGTCATACTGCTTCCAACCGCATAAGCTAGATTCCAATCCAGTCCTCTTTCTGTCTAGAGTTCATACTCACTATTTCATCCATACTCAGTGGTGTTTGCCCAAGATGGATTGTGGGGGGAGAGTTGGGATAAGAGGACAATGAGATGGGGAAGTGAGTGGGGAACTGGAGGAGATAGCAAAAATAAATCGTTGTGTGCCAAGCTAAGCACTTTGGACTACTTTACATAGCAAAAGCTCTAAATTGAATGGTGACATAATTAAATCTATATTTTGAGAAGACTGAATCTAACAGCTGCCAAGTGGAGCAATGAAAGCCACCAAATTGCCAGCGGAGAGAATCACCACATTTAATGCAACTCTAAGATTTCCACAGCTAAAAATGACTTTATTCCTACCAATTCATTGGTATGTACTTCATACAAGTCCTCACTCAGTAAAAAAAAGTCTGGCATCACATAAATAGTTGTAAAATTATACTTTATTCATATATATTAGACATTGATAAACTGAACAAGTGAATTACTTTCCATTCAGGGGCAGTCACAGTTGTCAACAATATTCAGAAGTACCAGGCATGAAATCTCCTGAGATGCTGTTTTTATCAGAGGACAAGGTCACATCACCTGACATGTTCAAGTGCTGTTTGACTGCCATTAAAGCAGTGGCTCAGAATGCAGACATGTTCTCAAATAGGCAGCAACTGGACAGTACAGGCAGCAACTAGATTGTATAATTTTGTGCACAAGTATTCATTCAAGTGAAATAAATGCACAGTGCATAGGATCTTGCTTAGAATAGTTGCCTATTTGGCCCCAGGTATAAAGCCTTATAATCACATAGTATTGCCTAATTAGTCAGAGAAAAAAAGAGTCAAGTGAAATAGTTACATGATTCAGGAATTATAAATAACATACATAAATAGATAATCATTTTCATTACATAAAAGTTGCCATTATAAATACTTTTTAATTGATGCATCAAAAGTAGATTTCCATATAAATAATGTTAAATATTAATAAATAGATTTAGATAAAAATTCAAATATTGCAGGTGAGTTGATCAGTACTTGGATGCTCGCCGACCTCGAAACAGCGTCTGACTCCTTTTTCGCTTCTTTAGGTTGGATTTTGGAGACAGAAAATTCAGCACATTGGAGAGTTCACTTACTGCTTTACGCTGGACCAGCCGATCATCCACCTATTGGAAAAGAAAACAGAAAAGTTCATTTCAGGCATAGAAGTCATTCTTCTGGTAATGTCATAGTCAGTGAAAAAGTAAGTATCCCTTTAAAAAGAAAAAAGGTGATCCTTGGCTAGCAACATATTACCTTAATAGTAAATATTCACTTCTTTAGCAGTTAAGGCTAAAATTTAAATTGCTAGTGTGCTACTAGTTGTGCTAGTTGTGCTATGGTGATGCTCATTACCTATCTTTAAAAATACTGCTACAGAATTCTCAAAATTATATAGTGAAAAGAGTCCTGAAATGGAGTTTGGGGAAAGTAAGTTTAAATCCCATGTATACAATAATCCTGCCTTGAACCAATCACTTAATTTCTCTGAATATTTGCTTTCTCATTTAAAAGGTAAAGAGATTATTTAGATGATCACTAGGTCATCAACCTACTAATTCTATTACTTTGTACTTCAATAAGTCATTGCTGTATGTACCAAGTGAGTAATATAAATCAGTGATCCTTAACTTTGTAATGTAGCAACTAACCTGAAGACCTAATAAATGGCTCAGAAACCCAGTTGCATGGAGAAGAAGACCTATGCCATTGAACATTCACAGTTACCCAGGTAACCACAAACACAGGTTAATTACTTTGTAAAACACCAAGTCCAAGACAGAGGAAAGCTGTAATTTTTAATTTCCCCTAGATAAGATCTCCACAGATTCCACAATGGGATTATAAATAAATGCTAATAATTTTTAGCCATAATAAATTTCTGACAAAATTTAAACAAATTATAACAACTTTTTCTGTACCTTGCCTTCTATTCCAGCAAACTGAACTATGTATTTCCTCATTCTAACCAAGAGGGTCATTTAGGTGATTTCATGCTTAATAAAATGAGAACCATTTATTGTTACATTGACTTTGCCACTAACTCATTTCTAGTGCTGGAAAACCTGTGGCCACCTTGCCACATTTTTGAGGATGACTGGGAGGATTCTAAGCTGCAGGACTAATCATTAAAAGGTATAACATGCCTAAAATATTAACAACTAAAGAAAAGAGGACAATGGTTAAGACCTCATTCAAGACCACCCGTCTTGAATCAGGACACCTGGAGATTCTGAAAAGATAGAAGAAGAAATTTTTCACTTTTCCAGTCCTAATGAAAGCTCAGGAGGAAAAGTTTCCACCATCTGTAAGTTTGCAAATCATAAATTTTACTTTCCAGCAAAGCATCACCAAGAGATTTACCTATCACTGAATAGTATGCAAGGAGCTGCAAGAGGCTAGGAACAAGTACTTTTTCAGCCAGTAGCCTCTGACCAGAGGAGACCTTCTGCCACCCCTCTCTAGTCCCTGGGGGCTTACAGGACAGAAATGAGAGGCAGATCAAAGTATAATGAAAGCTGGACACAAATTCCAAGAGCACCAGGCCTAACAAGAACCTGCCCCTCTTATTTAAGCCCATTTATGTCAAAGTCAGACCCACCCAAAGGAAACTGGAGGTCTTATCTCTTAGACAAAATTTGGGAAAATGTAATTTGTCTTTATGCTTTAAAGGTAACTTTCAGCTTCTAAAAGTTTACCAAAGGCTTGAGATGATTTCATGTAATAAAGATGAGGAACCTGAGGATTTCATTACCTGAGATACTCTAGTATCTGAAAGCTGATAAGACAATTCTTTCATAAGGTATATTGTCTATCTACCTTTTCTAGCCTAAAAGCAAGCAGTGAACATTGTCACTTCCAATTGGGTTGCATGGGCTGAGAGGTTGGCCAGAGATTGGCAGTGGAATGCTCCTGGTGCTTTCTCAAAAACTGCTGCTTCCTTTTCTCATTCTCATCTTCTACCCATGACATTGTAGAGTTGTAGAGGAAATGAGACCAGAGAATTGGGTAGTGAACCCAACAGGCTCCTTTTAAGATAAGAAAACCAAGTCCCAGACAGGCTTGTGATTCATCTCGGGTCACAGTTTGCTGAATTGGGAGTAGAACACAAACCTTCTCACCTCCTCCACTGCTCTTTCCACTAAGACATGTGGCCTCCCATCCAAATTTCCATCACTCAAACTAGGGGCAAGGAGAGAATTGTTTCTCAGTATTCCCCCCACCTACCACTCCACTGGACTTGTGCACCTAACTGTCTTCACATAATCATTTTAATGCTAGCACTAGTGTTGCCAAATTACATACTTAAATGATTCCCATACTGATTTTGCAATATCACCCAAGGCAATAACAGAATTAGTAAGGAAGAGTTTCATGTATGGGCTAATTTACAACTTTAGCAACTCTTAAATAGCTAATTTCTACTTTCTGAGAATTAAATGCTGCACAAGAGCCTCTATAATGAAACCAAAGAGAGAATTAAAATCCCCTCACCGAAATTCGAGTCAGATTTTGGAAGTCATCCATCTTAGTGAGGTTGCTATTGAAGAACTTCACAAATATGTCTTCTTTGATGGATTCCATACTCTTCTTGATGACCTCATGGTCTTTTAAGTTGTCAAAGAGTTTGAAGTAGAAGGAGACAATTTGGCTCTGAATTATTTTGTTGTCACTCTCCTTGGGAGAAAGAACAGCAAGAGAGAATGATGGAATTATCCATTCAGAAGATAAGCAACAGGAAAATGAGCCAGATGGGAATATATAATTTACCTCTTTCCAATTCCTCAAAATATTCAAGAAAAGGGGTCCACCATTTGCCACATCTGATGTATTTGCTTTCTGAAAATAGAAGGAAACTTGATTCACAAATAGTCCATAAATTGCCCTAAAATGTACTTCAAATTTCATGGAACTCAGATGCTGACAATATTTTATTTCCTTTTCAACCCTTCTGTTGAGTTCCAACAATAACTTTTCCCAGAAGTTTTGGTTAGATTTAGTCAAAGACTATTAATTCTCTTAGCTTTCTTATTAACTAGCATAATGTCAAATTGCAATGTAACATATAGTCTCAAAAATAACTACAGTAAGTTAAAGAGAAGGTTTTAAAGCTTTGTTAAAGATAGATAGATGATAGGTAGGTAGGTAGGTAGATAGATAGATAGATAGATAGATATAGATGATTGATAGATAGATAGATAGATAGATAATCAGCAAGACCATTCTCCTATAGAATACTGCCCCCTTATGGTACAGATCTGTGTATCATCTACCTGTCCCCTTCTATAATGTGTTGCTTGATAATCAGCTTTAAGATAGTTTCAAATACATGTATGTGTGATTTGATTTATATTATAAGAATAAAATTGATTGTGAATGCTTAAACATTATTATAACTGTCATAGGTATATTAGATAATTTTTCAACAAATAATAAAATATTTAAAATGCAAAAACAATTTTTGTTAACCATAAATAACATTTTAAAAATATTTCACAAAACAAAAAACTTTTTAACTCCAGTCCAGAATTCTAATGCCTACAAAATCTCAGTAAGTGGCTGCGTTCAGGTGTACCTCCCCAATAAAATAAATATAGCAGTAGAATTTTGAGTTACTTTTTCATTGAAAACACCTATAAATGACTTTCATTTTAAAGACTTCCCTCTCTTTTACATCAATTTATAAATTGTGTTTCTTTTATCATTTTAAACGCTAACCACAACATTTTTACTGCCATCTTCATAGTAGGCTGAGAAACCAGAACCTAAAAGCCAATCATTTTGTCAATGTGAATATTACTTGGTTTAACCCAACTGAATGGATTCTCACCACAAAATTATCAATATCATTATGCTTTAGACCCATTTTATGCTCATTTTTTGGAAGAGTCATGTATGCTCTGTAAGTAGAGCACACTGAGCAGAGAATCAAAGTAGTGTCTAGAGTATTTAGTTAGGAAATATATCCAACCAACAATTAGTAAAATAACACCAAGTCTTCTCAAAATGACTGTGAAGTAGTGATGACAGCCTATCATATCCAACTGCAAGTTAACATTCAGTCATTTTCAACCACATGCAAGTATTATTAAAAGGTCAAACTTACCAAATATGCCTTTAGGTGTTCTGTTTCTCTGGTTAGTGTGTCCTGGCAGTAACAGCCGTAAGAACCCAAGATGAGGCAGAGCTGAAAAGCCAAGATGTAACTTGTATAACTCATTGCTTCGGAGAGAGTGAGGCTGAAGAAGTTGAAACGAGAGTCAGTGTACGAAGTTGTTCAGGCCCAAAGCACTCAGCTGGTCTCTCTTTCCTAATAGCTGATCAGCAGGCGATCAGAACAATGTACCGCATCTCCCTTTGCTGCTGGTATTTATACCTGATTGAAGTCTCATCAGGATTACGTATTTTCACAAGTTTTTTAAGATGAGATGGTGACAGATAGGCAGGATTGCTAGTTAGTTTGTATTAATAACTATGGTTTTGTGGCATTTTGGTGTTGTAGTTAGAGTTTCCTTTCAACTTCTTGGGTTCTTTGACGATGAGCCAGACCCATTATGCCCACCTGTGCCATTCTTGTGGGATCCTTGGAAAGCACTTTTACTTCACACCATTCACCGGCTGGAAATTTTTTCACATTCCCCACTTTGCCCTTGTGAAATGTTGATTCCTCATCCACAGAGCACATTGATCATTTGTTTGTGGTTGGGAAGAAGTGAAAAAGGAAATTCTAGGGCCTCTCAAACCTTTACAAAGGGGGAGCATTTTAAAAATTTTCTTGCAAATGACCAGAAAGCAAGGAAAGAATGTGGTTAAAAGAGCTGTGTGGCAAGGAAGTCCTTCATCAGAGTTGGTTAGTAAAATACCACAAATTGTTCTCTTCCCAACAGAAAGCTAATGCAATATACATAAGTGAAATTAAATTTTTGCTAGTTCCATTAATAAAAGTAAAAAGAAACACAAAAATAATTTTTAAAAATATTAAACTACATATATACATATATCCAAAATATTTCAATATGTATCCATGCACATTACTTATAAGATGTTTTAGCATAACTTTTGTCATACTACACACTTGAAATCTGGTGTACACTTTGAACCTATAGCATATCACAATTCAGACAACCCATATTTCAGATATTCCATAACCATTTGTCACTAGTTTATTGTGTTGAACAATACAGCTCCAGGTGACCAGTTGGTCCAAATAATCACTAATAATAGACTCTTTTCAACTTTCTAATTATTTTTCTTTAGAATACAAAAAAATAGAGTTCTTCGTCTTTCTTTGTTAGTTTATTTATGAAGTACAATGTTTCAGCATGGCACCAAAGATCATCTACACTGTGGTTCCAACACACTTTATGTCTTTACTTGCACTGTGTACATAAAGCTATATTATGGCTACAGGTGCACTTGAATCCTAGCTCCACTATTATCAGTGTGTGACCTTGAGGAAGACTCTTACCTCGTCTAGGACTCAGTTCCCTCATCTCTAAAATGAGCTTAATAATAGCATCTCCTTGTAGGCTTCATTTGAAGATCAAATCAAATGATCCATGTAAAGTGCTAAGGATTTTTTTGCCGTACTTCAATCACTCAATAATTATTAAGTTATCTGTTATTCAGGAATGCTAGATGACTAGTATTCCAAAACACACACACACGCACACACACACATCCTTGTTGCTGCTGTTTCTTTGGTCTTGAGTTCCTTTTCCTCCCATCCTTGCCCCTTGGAGTGGTCCTCATTCACCCCAGTCCAGACTAAAAATCATCTTCTCCACAAATTCCCCCAAAACTATCTGACTGAAAATTAGTCTCAAATCCTCTTTATTGATCTAATTCTTGGTGCATAGTTTATTCTTAGAGTCCTAATCATCAATCTCATATTAGTCACTCATATGTCTTCTTCCATATTTGACTGAGTTCCTTAAAATCAGAAACTGTTCCATGGTTTAATGACATACTTTTCTTCCCTACGGCATTGTTTCATGCAGATGTGCTTGGACAAATCTTTTATTGATTTGTTTTATTTTCTTATTTTATTTATTTGACAGGTAGAGTTACAGACAGTGGGAGGGAGAGACAGAGAGAAAGGTCTTCCACCCACTGGTTCACTCCCCAAACGTCTGCAACGGCCAGAGCTGCACCAATCTGAAGCCAGGAGCCAGGAGCTTCCTCCAGGTCTCCCACACAGGTGCAGCGGCCCAAGCACTTGGGCCATCCTCCACTGCTTTCCCAGGCCATCAGCAGAGAGCTGGATTGGAAGAGGAGCAGCCAGGACTAGAACTGGTGCCCATGTGGGATGCCAGCACTACAGGCAGAGCTGCACCACGGCCCTGCCCCTATTTATTTATTTGAAAGTCAGAGTTACACAGAGAGAGAAGGAGAGGCAGAGAGAGAGAAGTCAGTCTTCCATCCACGGGTTCACTCCTCAATTGGCCGCAATGGCTGGAGCCAGAAGCCAGCAGCCAGCTTCTTCTGGGTCTCCCACGTGGATGCAGGGGCCAAAGAACTTAGGCCATCTTCTAATGCTTTCCCAGACCATAGTGGAAAGGTGGATTGGAAGTGGAGCAGCCGGGACTCGAACTGGTGCCCATATGGGATGCGGCACTGCAGGTGCTGGCTTTACCCACTATGCCGCAGCGCCGGCCCCAAATGTAGATTTAAAGCTTGCCTAAGGATCTATTTTTATGTTTCTTATTCTCCTGTTCTGATCTTAGTGCTATCAGGCCTCACCTGTGGGAAACTAGCTTTTAATTAAGTAATATTTAAGACTAATGTTGGAAACATGGTGCTGTGTCTCTTTAACCAGTGCATGCTGACTGGGCCATTGCCATGTATTATTTTATGTGGAAAGAAAAGAGCCAGAAAGATCTTCAAGAAATTATCTTCCCAAAGAATAAGTAACTTCAGAACATATCTGTGAGACAGAAGCCTCTTTTTTTAAAAAAAAAAAAAAAAGATTGATTGATTGATTAGAGAAGCTGAGTTACAGAGAGGGAGAGAGGTCTTCCATTTACTGAATCACTCCCCAAATGGCCATAACAGCCAGAGCTGGGCTGATCTGAAGCCAGGAGCTTCTTCCAGGTCTCCCATGTGGATGCAGGGGCCCAAGCACTTGAGCCATCTTCCATTGCTTTCCCAGGCCATTAGCAGAGAGCTGGATCAGAAGTGGAACATCCGGGACTCAATCTGGTGCCAATATGGGATGGTGGCACTGCAGGCAGCGGCTTAAAGTACTATGCCACAGCGCTGGTCTCCACCAACAAAAGCCTCTTGAAAGCCAGTGGAAAGTGTGGAAATCCCATTTCTGCACACTAAGCTCTACTTTAACTGTCTTCAAGGAAATATACAGAGACTATGCTCACAGGGTGACACAGGGACAGGTGTCAAAGGCTTATCAAAGCCTCGAGGCACAACAGAGGTAATCAATAACTTCCAGGAAACCAATGGCCAAATTTTGAGTCACTGAAAGAAATATTTCAACTATCTGAAAAAGAGTAAAAGTTAGTTCTATGCATTCCTTGATTTATCCACTGGAATATAGTGTAGGAACAGAAGAATTTAAAATAGTGGGAGTCATAATAGGAGATTATATGCTACTTGGACATTTGTAACTTGATAATCACTGCAAAATTACAGATATATCTTAAAATGTGTTTATGATATGACCAAAATTTTTAAATTGCATCTAATGACTAAAATACAAGCTCTAATAACTTCTAATAGCGTGACCCAGGACAGAATTATGAAATTTTAAGGATTATCTATGGTCTGTACCCTTACTTTTCATATTTGTAAAGACTCAGAAAAACAGTCCTGTGCTTAATTTCAGTCAACTGTGTAATACATATCTGAGTCTAAAACAAGATATTTACTTTAATCAACCCATTCCCAAGTGATCAATAGCAACTAAACTTACTGTATATGCCTGTAACTATATTAGAAATATGAATTCAAGAGATCTGGCATTGTGATGCAGTGGATGGGGCTGCCTCTTGTGACACTGACACCCCATATGCGCTCTGATTTGAGTCTCTACCACTCCACTTCCAACACAGCTCCCTGCTGGTGCACCCAGGAAAGTACTGGAGCATAGCCAAGTGCTTGGGCCCCTGACACCTGCATAGGGGACCTTGATGGAGTTCCAGGCACCTGGCTTCGGCCTGATCCAGCCCCAGCTGTTGCTGCCACTTGGGGAGTGAACCAGCAGATGGAAGATATTCTCTTTCTCTCTCTCTCTCCCACCCCCCACCACTCGCTCTAACTCTACCTTTCGAATAAATAAATAAGTCTTTAAAAAAGAAGAAGAAATGTGAATTCAAATATTAAACTCCATCAGGCTTTGGCTTATGGAGTTTTTCTGTAGAATTTGTGTGATTAACATTCACACTTTAATTTCTTTAAAAAAAGTAAGACTGAAAATAAAGGTTTTGAAATTCTTGGTGGCCAGCGCCGCGGCTCACTAGGCTAATCCTCTGCCTTGCAGTTCTAGTCCCGGTCGGGGCGCCAGATTCTGTCCTGGTTGCCCCCCTTCCAGGCCAGCTCTCTGTTGTGGCCTGGGAGTGCAGTGGAGGATGGCCCAAGTACTTGGGCCCTGCACCCCATGGGAGACCAGGAGAAGCACCTGGCTCCTGCCATCGGATCAGTGCAGTGCGCCTGCCGCAGCGTGCTGGCCACAGCAGCCATTGGAGCGTGAACCAACGGCAAAGGAAGACCTTTCTCTCTGTCTCTCTCTCTCACTGTCCACTCTGCCTGTCAAAAAAAAAAAAAAAAGAAAAAGAAATTCTTGGCTAGACCTGTTAGTAAATTCAACTCCATGAGCACACATCTATGTGAATTGCCAGGATCCTGAATTTGGAACAACCCACATGCCGTCACCCCTTGAAATTCCTAATAATATTTTAATAATGGACCCACATCTTCATTTTTATCTACTCCATGCAAATTGTGTACTTAATTTTGCATCCTAGGCTGGAAGTGAATCATCTATTGGATTTTCATATGATTCTTTAGTTCAGAATGGTGTTACTACAATATCTTCTTCTGATCTTTTCCTGTCAACTTTGCAAGCAAAGAAATTTCTTTGTCTTTTTTGCCTGTAAAACACCATGTGTTGCACATGCAAACTAGAGGTTTCACACTTTGTTGGTTCAGCCAATAGTGGGACTGCAGAAGAACTCACCACCAAGATATTCTTTAAAAGTCTTGAAAAGCCACCAGGAGCCAAGGTGTGACCAATGACTAAAATAAAGGGACTGAAAACTTTCTTTTTTCTTTGTAGCTAGACTTTCTTTCTGAAAACTGGCTATGGTTATGCA